TGTAAAATAAGAGTAAACAGAGGAAGAAGAAGAATTTGTTGTATTATTCATCAATCTCGTATGTATATATACAAGTTACAAATTCTATGTTAGGAAATAGTATATTAGGAAAGAAGACTAATCAAATTCCTAGAAATCTGTCCTACAATCAAGGTAAATCATATCTCCCTAGTATTTACTTCCTATTTTATTTATACAGTCTGTAACATCATATCTCCCTAGTATTTACTTCCTATTTTAATTATACAGTCTGTAATATCTTCCTATTTTAATTATACAGTCTGTAACATACACCAACTAAAACTCCAGTTAGGTGTGTTTCAAAGACTTTTTGGTCATCTTCTCTACTTATGTTTACCTAATATATTATATGCTGTGAGTGTGGTCAGTTAATATATGCATAACCTAGATCTTCTCATATGCAAGTAATGAATAGAACACTTGCCTATTTGAAGTGGTGTCTAGGAAAAGGAATGTTGTATTCTGATCATGGGCATCTCAAGGTTAAAGCCTATTTTGGTGTTAACTAAGTTGGTTCTATTGATGATAGGCACTTTACTTCTGGTTACTGTACCTTGGTGGGTAGTAATGTTGTATCTTGGAGAAGAAGCAATCTGTTGTGGCCCAATGTAATATAGAGGCAAAGTACAAAGCTATGACTCATGGAGTTTCTAAATTGTTATGATTGAAGAACTTGTTGATAGAAATGAGAGTACAAATTAAGGCTTTAATAATGACAACAAAGCTGCCAAAAATATAGCCTACAATCCAATTCAATAAGATCCTAAAAGTCATATAAAAGTTAAAGGCACTCCATTAGAAAAAGTTACCAATGGAAAGATTACCTTTTGTGAGGTCTGAAGATTAGTTGGCTGATTGTCTCACTAAAGTATGTATAGTACAAATACATACAAAATATACCCAAAAATACATAGTTTTGCACTCTACATATTTGTATTTGTATTCTTTCCAAACTTAGCCTTAATTGCAAATTTCTTTTAGGATTAAGAAACAAGACAATGCATGAGAAGGAATTACTTCCACCACTGATTTGATTAAGACTTATCTTCTAGCCTAAGAGAAAGAAGATTGCAAGTTAATTGCTCTTTGGGTGAATCTCTCACTACTATAACCAAACAGCTCCCTTTTAGATTTTCTTTGGTGAGAGACAAGCTCAAGATTGGCTCCTGATTAGAGGTAAGCTTAAGGCTTAGCTCTTTGGCCATGATTTTTTTTCAGCCTTAAGCACGTACTTCTACTAAAATAGATCTCAGATTCACAAAAGCTTCACAATATTGATTAATGGATTTTATGATAGAGGCTCCCTCATAGATGTGGAATCAACAAGGGGAAAAAAAGGATGTATAGATTTCATACTTCTTTGATCCAACAAACTCCTGACGTGTACCTTAACATAATAATTATGATGTAAAATTATTACTTAGTTCAATTTAGGCCATGTTTGGGGCCTAACTTTTTCATTCAAATAAGCACTTATTTGTATTTGGCACCCAACTTTTTCAAGTGCTTATTTTATATTAGGCATTTGATAGTTTTTTCTCTAATAAGCACTTAAATAATCATTTGTGACTATTTTATCTTTCATTTTCTTTTAAATTTTCAAAATATACCCTTTGAAAGCATTTTACAAAAGCACTTTTATGAAAACACTTTTACAAAATCACTTTTATGAAAGTACTTTTATGAAAGTACTTTTATGAAAGAACTTTTATAAAAGTACTTTTACAAAAGCACTTTTATGAAAGCATTTTTACAAAAGTACTTTTATGAATACTTTATAAAAGTATTTTCTAAAAGTGCTTTTGTTAAAGTACTTTTATAAAAGTGCTTTCATAAAAATACTTTCGTAAAGTACTTTCGTAAAAATGTTTTCATAAAAGTACTTTCTTAAAAGTGCTTTTGTAAAAGTACTTTTATAGAAGTGTTTTTGTAAAAGTGCTTTCATAAGAGCAAGGTTCAAAATATTGATACATCTGATATGTTGTTAGGGGCATATTCGGCGATATCGATACTTTTTTTTCAAAACTGGTTCAGGGGAACGGTTTAAGGCTCCACCCCCTGAATCGGTCAGAATCCCGATACTAAAGGRGCATATCAGGGAGCTCCCGGAACGATATACATATCGGCCAATACGAGCTGATACGTGTCAATACTTGAACCTTGCATAAAAGTACTTTTATAAAATTCAATTAGGGATAATTTTATTAGTATTTTAAAATTCAAATAGGAATAATTTTGGAAGAAAAATTTTATATGTACTTATTATATAAACACTTAAAAAACCTGAAAATTTGGGCTTCAAAAATAAACCCTTATTTTTAAAATAAGCACTTATTTCAGACTTATGTCTCAAATRCCAAGTGCTTAATGGCCCAAATAAACACTCCTAAACATGGCCTTAGAAAGAATTAGTCAGGCCTAACAACCGTGTTYGTGCCACTAAAACCAGGCCATTCCACCTCTCCATGTTTCCATTTTTCACAAAACAACAATGTCTGAATTGGTTAGATTTCCACTATCCTGAATCTTCATCATGATATGCATTTTTTTTTAATGAAATAAGTCTTCAAATATTGCTTTGAATTTGGCCTAAAGGGACCATACTAAAAGCAACCGCTAACGCCGAGTTCGACTATGGAAGAAGAGATTCTACAATGATGCAAATTACAGGGAAAAGGTTAATGAATACATGAAAAGGAAATAAAAAAAAGCAAATACATAAAGACAAATATTATATTTTATAATTAATTCAAAGAATGCACTTCTATACAATAATAAATAGCATTTACAGGAAAAGGTAAACGAATATATTTGAGGAAAAAAAAAGCGAATACATAAGACAAATATTATATTTCATAAATAACTCATAGAAACTATTCAATAATAGATGGTATGGGCAAATTAACATTGGTGAAGCTAGTTGTTCAGAGGCAGCCACTCTAACTCTAGTTCTAGCTCTCCACATTCCACATTTTGAAGCTTGAGTGCCATCTCTTGTTTCACCTTTCCATCAATAATGTTAATGGAACTATCATCGATGAGGGCATTGTCATGTGATTTTAACCATTTTCCAATTTGCATATCTGCAAACTTACTTGCATCTCCAAACGAAGTTGCAGCTGTGATCAATGGCTGGATATCAACCACAGCGTCCCCCATAATGTCATCCGCTGAGAAGGTGTCATAATCAAACACTTCCTGTATCATGGTGCTCGGAGGTAAGATAGAACACATGTTTTACATGAATTCCGCAAAAGTTAAGGCTATTGTTTCATAAGCAGTCTACAAATAGATGCAGTTACATATAAATTGTCTCCAAAGATGAGGATGGTAATAGCGTCTCCTCGGATCAATTTTCACCTAGGATATGTACCAAGAACGATACCTAATTGAAGGTAAACTATTTGCCTACTGCRTGGATGTAAAAGGCAATAATTTAGAAGAGGTCCGCGATCCATCCAGATAAAAGGGTAGATGCATGTAACAGATACATATTTATGTAAAATCCACAGTTTACAAAGACTTCACATAAAATTTCTGATTTGTCCAAATCAGGACCCATAGTCTTCATCCCTACTTCATCCAACAAAATATGAATCCATAGTAACTATGTTACTCCGTGGGTCATAGCTTATTCAGTGATTACACTTTGATCTCCAAGTTGTTCAAGAGAAGATTCAGCATTGTGATATGGTTACTCTATTTTTGAAGTTATTCTCCATTTTTTTCCCACTTTGTTCAAGCCGGTGTATATATGGGGTTCATTACTAGCAAGCTAGGTCTAAATAATATATATACACCAGCTTTAGGAGAGTGTTGAAGTGTGTAATATGTTTAACAAGTGTAGTTCCATGCTTATTTTATGTTGTAAGTAGTATTGATGATGAAGGGTACTTCTGACATTTCATTAGCATAAAGGATACTCAAATTCTTAATTGTAACTTGTAAAATCCCTATTCGATTCTAGGTTAAAGTAGAGAAGAAGAAGAGAAAGAAGAAGAAGAGGAGGAGGAGAAGAAGGGTTCGTCCAGATGAGGAAAATCAGTCCTCTCTAGTCGACCCACTTGTATTTATTTCAAAATAAGTTTGGTTACAAGAAAGACTATATTGCCCCTCATAAGTGATGGGGCACACAACTTAGACCTGAATAAAACAGACCTTTCACTCTCACACAGATACGCCCAAATGACCAAAATACCCCTGTTCTGTGAATTCTAACATAACAGGGGTAGTAATGTGTGTGTGTGTATACGTCAGTCAGAATTTTCTCCCAGCAGGTCAGTTAGCTTTGTCTCTCATTCTTCTCCTTTCTCTTTTCTCTTTTCTTCTCTTCTCTTCCACTTTCTTTATTTTCTATTTTGTTTATTACATTATGGCTCTCTCAATTCTATACCACAAACCTATAAAAGATTTTGATACAGATATCTCATATTTGTACCAATGAGAGTGAGATAATATGATCATTGAGGAGTGGTATCAGTAGCTAGAGAGAAGAGTAGAATATATCAACATAGCAAAAGAATATCAGTGATAAAACTGTCTGCTGGTCAAGTTCTTCCAATCAACAGTACAGGCGAGGTATCTCCTATTCAGAATCCCGATCRAAAATAGAGTTCTTAATCTCAAACTTACTGAACTTTCTAATCGGTGGTTAAAAACAAAGCCCATGGTTACTGGATGAGTAGAACCAAACAAAGGGATTGAGCTTATGAGGAAAGCCCCTCCCAGTTCTATTTCCTGTTGATTGTTAAGGTTTGGAGGTAAGCCTATCTATAGAAATATGTTAACCAATCATCTTCCACATTGTACAATTAATAGGCCCAACCAAATTTGACTTCCTGGAGAAGGGTGATGAAGGATCAAAATTATCTAGTTGATGCCATACTCGAATAGAATTGGTCTATTAGAATGTGGGCTGCCTTTTATTATACTGTTGCTATATGGAAACCTCTAACTTACAACTCTTTATCTTCTTCTTCTTCTTCCTGCTCTTTTCTGCACTGTTTTCAGTTGATTTACTCTTAAACTGTTAAGTTTTAGATCTGTACTCAAATCTGAATTAAGGAATTCAGCTTGTTTGTATACCAAATATATAATGCCCATCTAAAGGTAAACACAAGGTTCCGTTTTTAATTTTTTTTCAATCGATATACATTCTTTTTCCTCCTAATATAAATGCTTCAATATTTAGGAAAAGGAACAAAGTGTTAAAAGCAACCATTCATTTGATTATATGGAAAAAGAGCCCCCATTACAAGTATCATACTAAGGTATCATTGAAGTATTAATAGTAGAATCAGTATCCATAATTTTTCATGAGTTCATTTTCTAGTTGAAGAAAAACACTAGTTAGAATATGGTTTCAATGGATGCAGCAAGAGAAGGAAAAAATGGAAAAAATATGGTTTTAATAGAGGAAGCAAACTGAAAACTGTAAGAGAATAGAGAGATGCATCTTTTATGGAAACTAGAATCTTGGAACAAATGTAAAATCCAAGACTTAATGGAGGCTCACCAGTTTTATGGCGTTACAACTCTGAGGAACTGAAAGCAAGAGCTCCTCATTCCAAATTGGATTCAAGTTGCTATTTATTACTTGTGTCTGGGCCTTCTACAGAAATTCCAAGTGTTTATTATAAGAGAGAATTATGACAAACTGAAAATGAAATAACAACTTTCTAGCTAATGGCACCAGGTTACAAAAAGAGCAACAAACGTAGTGACATATAACAAATGTGGATCCACTGTTTGACCCCAATCAAATGACAATAATCATCAGATTTATTGTGTTCCTTGGACTATTCAGAACATGGAGTAAATAGTCCAAAGTCCACGAATACATGAATGGGATTTATGTGTAATGCATCATATACCATCCCCACAGTTGACCCAAAGGATAAGAAATGAAATAGAACTAGCAGCTAACCTGCTTCCCAAGAGTCAGGACAACATAAGGATCACTAGACAGCATATCTCTAATAGCCAAATTTGTGCCTTTTATGACTTTGACCTTGAGTAAGCCAATGAATTCCTTCATACCATCCTGTTTGCAATTTCAAAAGTATAAGAATTAAAGCAATCAAAATTCATGCATAATAGCCAGTGTTGTTTTCTAGTCAAGTCATTTAGAAAACAGTATATGCAAACAAGAATATTCCAAGTTCTCATCACCACTAACCCTGTAATCCCCAGGAAAATTTCAATCTCAAATCTTTTTTCCATGAATCCAATCTAAACTCTCAGAACTTTCTGTATTGAAAAATAAAAAACTATGTTTTGGATGATTAATCTCACATAGCGACAGCTCTGCAGCACATAGTTGAGTTTATGACATGTTGAGTTAATTTCATTATCTGTTGATGTGGAATAAGAAACAGCATAGATTGACCATACAGTAGGAATGTCTCACCACTATTCCCACTATAATATGCATATACAGAAACACCTGCAAGATATCAATACAGTGAATTGGTTTTTATCACTCTCTTTTTTGTGTTGCTCAGCTAAACTCAACCTTAACCCCAACTATATGGGGCCAGCAAGACAAATGCTCTCCAGAAATTGTGCTCTATCAAGAAAACAATACCATACCATCTTTTTCCTGTGTTCTAGGTTTATATAAATCATAATTTCCTCAGGAAAAATGTAAACAATGTTATTCAATTTGTGCAAGATGTGACTTGCATCCAGTGCCACATATAGAAGTGGCTGCTTTGGTTAAACATAAATGATTCAATCTTTGAAAAGAGTGAAAGAACTATTATATTAGTAAGCAATTACCATTTCAGTTGATGTGTTTGAACTTCGAAAAGTGTCGATAATCTTTCTAGAAAGAGTACTCCGGAGAGTGCTCCTTGTAGTAGCAGCAGGAAGTGAGACAATCCGCAGGCTTGGTTTCAAAAATTCTTGAAGCTCATACTTAGATCTACATAATTAACATGACTGAAATTATGTTAGTAATCACCAAAAATACTTAAAATCAGTTTATTTCTTRGTATTTTACATATCTACACCTTGGCCCACTGGCCAGAAACCTCTTACTCAGGATCAAAATATTTCGGAGGGTATCCAGTATTTCGAAAATATTCTCTCAGCAGAACAGTGTCATATACCTGAAGGCCTACTTGATGTTATTCCCTCTACTATGACAGAAACAGAGAATTTACAGCTTCTTCTCTCTCCTACAGCTGAGGAAATTAAATCGGCAGTTTTCTCTCTCTGTAAGGATTTAGCTCCTGGCCCCGACGGTTTCACCGGATACTTTTACACTTCTTGCTGGGATATCATTTGCAAAGACATTACGACAGCTATTACAGATGTTTTCAATGGTATGGATCTCCCTTTGAGTTACATTTCTGCTTATATTTCCTTAATTCCTAAATGCCAGAACCCGCAGAATTTTTTCTGAATATAGACCTATCAGTGTTTGTAATTTCTCTTAGAAAATTATCTCCAAGATCATGGTTGATAGACTTAGTGGCCTTCGGCACAAATTAATTTCCCCTCAGCAGGTTGGTTTTATCAAGGGGCGAAACATCCTTGATAACATCAATCTTGCTCAGGAGTTGACTCAGGAGATTGGTCGTAAAAGTTAGGGGAAATAATGTTATCATTAAATTGGATTTGTTAAAAGCCTGTTATAGGCTTGATTGGAACTTCCTTTTTATGGTGCTATCTAAATTTGGTTTCTCTAATGATTGGATTTCTATGACCTGCAAAGTTGTCTGCAGTTGCTGGTTCTCTATTAAAGTTGAAGGCACTTTGCATGGCTACTTTAAATCCACCAGAGGCCTTAGGTAGGGGGACCCCTTGTCTCCCTACCTTTTTATCATTGCTGAAGAGGTGTTGAGCAGAAGTTTTCTCAGTTACTAACAATCTAGATCTGATTTATGATGTGCCGAGAGGTTACCCTCCCACAAAGGCAAGGCAAGGCTATATATGTTTGATAATTTGATGCAGAAAATAAATGCAAAAATTGAATCCTGGAAGGGGAAATTACTCTTAACTGGAGAAAGAATCATTCTGTTAAAGCATGGCCTTCTCTCAATGCCGATGCACCTGTTAATGGCCATTGATATTCCTAAGTCTATCATATGAAGCTTGGAGCACAAATTCAAGCATTTCCTGTGGACCGGGTCTGAGGAAGATTCCAAACATAGTTGGGTTACTTGGTCTAATGCAATGTTTTGAAAGTGCAA